CCGGCTCAGGAATTAAATTTGATGCATACGTTCACAAAAGCAACACAGTTCAATGATATTTGGAACATATTGTGTTATAGTGATACAACGTTTTTGTTAGAGTCCAAAGGCTACAATTGTACAGGAAGACGCTTCCAGCATATGCATTGAAAATTCGTATTCTCAGTTGTGGGTTGGATTTCTTGTTGCATAGTATTGGTTTGAGGTGCTTGGTGGTTGTTTCTGTGAGTGATTTCCGGCGTTTTATGTCTTCTGTGGTATCCAGACAGCTCCCAAGGTATTTGGTTTTCTTCCACTGCTGCTGTGAGTTGGTGACTATTTCCCATCTGGTGCTTCGTCTGAATGTAAGTTTCTGCCAGTTCGACTGTTGGTTTTGGAGATTGTCAATGCATGTGTCCTTTCTTTTCCCTCTTTCTCAGAATTAGTTTTGCTAGTCGTCTTTCTTTGCTCTGCTGATGTGCAGCTGTTCTGTTTTATTGTTGTTGACGCTTAGCTGCCGGTCAGGGAGCATTGATGGAGCTGCATTTTTTTTTTTTACATTCGCCACCGTTGGCTATCCAGCATACATCGTCTGCATACTGCATGTTGATGAAGAGGTAGTTTGTGCCATGGTTGGTGTAGTTATTGTCTTGTAGGTGTGGAGGTGTTTTTTTTGTGGATCCCATCGAGCTTGTCTAGGGCTTTGGCTAGGTATAGTGGGAAGAGCACTGGGCTCATACTGCTGTAGTTGTTTAAGTAGCTGCCATCAAAAAATAGCGTTCTGTAATCCTGCAGCAAAATTTCCGGAACATTTTTTTTTCATTCCGTAAAATAAACAGACTTAACATGAGTTTGGACATGTGTACACGGTAATTGTGGGTGAAATAACAATATGTACTCGGATGTACTCTATTATGTGTAGGTGTTTGGGCCGAAGTGGTTGATTGTTACCACGCTAATTAGCATAATTAATATTTGCATTTACGGAAAGTCCGTAAAATTACGGCAAAAACGGAATATTTAACTTTACGGGGTTCGTAAATTTACGGACATTTTTAGCAGTGTAATTATGGTCTTGTAGGTGTGGAGGTGTTTTTTTGTCGATCCCATCAATCTTGTCCAGGGTTTTAGCTAGGTATAGGGTAAAGAGCACTGTGCTCATGCGGTGTAGTTGTTTAAGTAGCACCAAGTGGGGGGGGGGTAGTTCAGTGGACCGTTAAGGCGGGAGATTCTGGAAGAGGATCCTAAAATTTGCCAGGTAGGATGCTAAATGGACTGTGTTTACTCACTGAGGCATGTGAGAATGATGGCGGTACAGCTAGGATGAACATCAAGGGGTGAAGAACGAGTGCCAAGGGTTTAGGGGACCCATAGGCAGAACTAATGCGGGGATCGAACTATGGGGATCGGTTACGCCCGTGGGTATAGAAGACCCATTGTACCTACGATGAAGGAGTGGTCACCATCATATACAGTATGTCTTGTGGATCTGTGTTGTGTTTGTAGATGTCCTTGGCCTCCCAGACTCGCCTAGGGTGCCTGTTCCGGACGAAAATTTATGAATGAACGTTTGTTTACAATCTTGTAAGTGCCGATGGAGGGCGCTGTTTCCAGTAACCAAGCAACGGACGGAAGTGAAAGGAGACATGTCGCTTGTTAGTTTGTGAAGAATTATTGTGAGAAATCAATTCGTTTCTGGAAAAATGTAGTTATTTGAGGCCACAAACTTAGCTGACAATTGCCTCCACGGCCTGCTGAGTAAGGATCACTTTGATTAAGCTGTGTAAGAACTGCCATTTGGTTTTGTACTGGTCGCTTTCTGGTCGCTTTTTCGTCGCTTACATGTAATCTGCAAATCACATATTCGGGGGGATATTCGCTTATCGTTATAATTATCGTTGGATCATTCTTGTGTTGTTTGACTGTTAAATATTTCGAAGGTTCATCGTTCTACATTGTCGCGTGACTGTATGCATGGCCACCTAAGTGTCTTGTTGACTAGTACAGCAAAATATAGTGTGTATAACATTTGCAGTGTACGACTTTGGAGGCATTTCACGTACTGTGCGATATTGGAGATCATCACTGTGTGAGCATTATCTTTTAACAGAGAAGTGAGAATTACATGTAACTGTGCCAATGCTCTGGAGATAAAGATTACTCACAATCCTGACAGTTTGTTGAATAAATGATGAATATAAGACATATGTGTGTTTGCAGTAAACTGTTAAACAAGCGCCACTAACAGACAGTGGTCGTTAGTGCATCTACACAGCCTAAATCCCCCCCATTTTTCGTACAAAACCAAAGGTGTACTAACTGAACACTGTACACTTTTGTGACTGTAAGTGACTTTAAGCTGCATTGTGAGTGAATAATTATAAACAGCAAAGATGAGTAACCCTGGAGTGTTTGGACCAAGAAACAGCAAGCAGGGAAAAGCTATTGAGCTCCATAAATCTCGTGGTGGCCTTGCTTCGAACATTAAAAGAAAATATAAAGATTTCCAAATTTCTGTGGACACGAAGCTTGATTTGGAGACTGTTAGAAATAGACTGGCCTCATTAGAGTCTGCAGTTGTAAAATATCAGGAAGTCCATGCAGACTGTGTTCGCCTAGCGTCAGAGGTAGACAAGGACAAGCTGCCGAAATATGAAGAAGACTTCAATGAAATCGAAGAACTCATGAAGGCGGCTCGCAATACATACAGTGAACTGGTCATTGATCTGAAAGACGACGTAGCCCCGAACGATAGTGCTTCGCAGTGCAGCACGAGTGTTACAGCCCGGTCGACCGCATGATCAAGTGCCAGAGCCAAGGTTGCAGCCAAGGCAGCGCTCCATGTCAAGGCCAAGTTCCTGAAACGACAGCAGGAGTTGGAGCTTGTGCAACTGAAGCAGAAAATCCAGATGGATGAACAGTTGCTGAAACAGAAAGCTGCAATGGAGTCCTTGCAGCTTGAAACAGAGATGGAGATAGTTATTGCGGAGGAGGAAGCATTAGCCAAGTTCACTGACCCCCCACTGCACAACGGTGAAGCGGCGAACCAGGCAGCCACTGGTGATCATGCAGTCTTGAACTCGGAACCAGACTGTGGTGAAGGAGGGTTACCAGTTCAGCAATCCTTATCCACCAATGCTGCAATAGAGATACCGACAACAGACTGTCCAAGGAGTAACGACGTTCAAAACTCCAAGCTTAACCCACTTGCGAAGGCTTGGCCGACTCCCTCAAAGGAACCGAAAGGTGTCTTCCTAACACTGCAGCGTCAGATGTTAGATGTTATGAACCTTCCGAAGACCAGTTTGATGTCCTTTGATGGCAACCCCATGAACTACTGGGCGTTCATGAACTCGTTCGACAGTTCGACAGTCAGCGATGGAGCCAAGTTGAACAGACTGTTTAAGTACTGCAAGGGAAAAGCAGCTCGCGTCATCCAGCCATGCGCAATGATGAAACCCTCGGAGGGTTATGCCAAGGCACGGACATTCCTGAAGGAGAGATTTGGCAATGAATTCAAGATATCGCAGGCCTGGGTTGACAGAGTATGCGAGGGCCCTGTTCTCAAATCGAACAGTGCCGAAGCCTTGCAAGATTTTGCTGATGATGTCCAAGGCTGCATGGAGACACTTAAAGCCATGAACAAGCTCAATGAGATTGACTCGCATATGAGGATGGTAAAAATTGTGGAACGGTTACCATTCTTCCTGCAGTCTAGATGGCGTAAAGAGGCAGTGAAGACAGTTGAAGCAACTGGTGACTACCCCAACATCAACAGGCTGGCCAAATTCCTGACAGTGGCTGCCAACGAGGCCAATGACCCCGTATTTGGATCCCTAAACACCAAGTACAAGGACTCAAAACCACCAAGCAGCCCCGGAAATCCTAGGCGAGGGACAACTTTCAATGTTCATGCCAAAGACGGCATGACACAACAGTCATCAGAGTCAAATAAGAAGTTTGGTACATCGTCAGGGAGAGACGAACAGTCAAGGCCGTGCCATCTTTGCAGAGGAAATCATCGTCTTGACGCCTGTGATGACTTCAAGAAAATGTCTCCGCAGAAGCGAATGGAGGTGGTGAAAGGTAAAAGGCTCTGCTTCAACTGCTTGCTGGCAAGTAACCATGTAGCTCGATGGTGCAGGAATAAGAGCGGTTGTGACAAAGATGGATGTACCCGACGACATGCCAGTTTGCTGCATGGATGCGATGCAGTATGCCACCAGTGTGACAGATCAGAAGGATGCACAGGGTGGAGGTGGAACCAAGGCTGACTCACCAACCGTGGGTGCCAAAAGCTGTGTATGCGGTCCTTCTGAAAGAGAACCAGTGAAGGTAGTCCTGCCCATAGTGACGGTGAATGTCAGAGGTAAAGGCCAACACAGCTTTGTCCAGACTCATGCACTTCTCGATCCTGGCAGTAACAAAACATTTTGCCCCCAAGCTCTGCTCGACAAGATGGGCCTTGAGGGAGAGAAAACCAACCTGTCCCTTGAAACGCTCAATGATGGAAGCGATGCTGAAGCCTTTCAGGTGGCTTTGGAGGTGACTGGAACCATTGGGAAGATGCGGAAAAGGGAGGTCATTCAACTACCGAAAGTGTAAGCCCTGGCCAAATTCCCAGAGCTGAAGAGTTGTGTGGCCACATCAGCTGACACAAAGCAATGGCAGCACCTTCAAGACATTGACCCCGGATGGACGAGACTGAAGTCACCATACTGGTGGGACAAGACGTTCCACAGGCATTGATACCGCTGGAAGTGAGACGAGGCAATGCTGATGAGCCTTATGCAAGGAGAACTGCACTTGGATGGACCGTCAATGGACCAATCGGTGGGGAGCTGCACCATGGGAAGGCTGAGTGCAATTTCATACAATCATGCACGAAGCCAGAGGTCAGCCTTGATGCCCAAGTCGAACAGTTCTGGAAGCTCGACACACCCCAAGTGCTGGCAGCAAGCGTTCCTCAGATGTCTGTTGATGACAAGAAAGTGATTGATTAGTGGGACTGCTCTCTGACTATGGTTGATACGCACTATCAGATGGACATCCCCTTCAAGGTTCTGCCCCCACAGTTGCCAAATAACAGATCCCTTGCTGAGAAGAGGCTTGGAAGACGTCTTGCCAAGAACCCTGAAATGCACGATAGATACAAGGCTGAAATCGAGAATCTACTGGACAAGAGATATGCAGAACGTGTGCTGAGCAGTGACATTGATGCTTCGCCAGGTGGGACCTGGTATTTGCCTCATCATAATGTGGTCAACCCCAACAAGCCCGAGAAACTCCGCATAGTCTTTGACTGTGCTGCTGAATATGCTGGAACATCTCTGAACAAGAATGTTATGCAAGGCCCCGACATGACCAACAAGCTGATTGGCGTATTGGTGAGGTTCAGAGAGCAAAGAGTAGCAGTTATGGGTGATATAGAGGCGATGTTTCACCAGGTCAAGGTGACTCCATCCCATAGAGATGTTCTGAGATTCTTGTGGTGGAGAGATGGAGACATAGCCAACCAGCCTGAAGTCTTCAGAATGGCAGTCCATCTCTTCGGAGGTGTTTGGTGCCCGAGCTGTGCAAGTTATGCTCTCCACAGAACGGCCGAAGACCACGAGGACGAATTTGACCCTGAAGTCATCACCACTGTGATGGAAAACTTCTACGCTGATGACTGCTTGAAGTCAGTGGAGAATGATGAGAAGGCCATGAAGTTGGTGGAACAACTGTGCAAGCTGCTATCTATGGGTGGTTTTCGGCTAACCAAATGGTTGTCAAACAGTCCGAAGGTCATCGAATCCATCCCGCTGGAGGAAAGAGCCAAGAGCGCTAAAGAAGTCGACCTGGACAATGGATTACTACCTGTTGAGAGAGCACTTGGAGTACACTGGGACACACACAGAGATGTTCTTGGTATCAAAATAAAGCCAAAAGAGAAGGGTTACACCAGAAGAGGTCTTCTGAGCATCGTGAGTTCTGTATATGATCCACTTGGATTCGTGTGCCCATTTGTGCTCCAAGCAAAGAAGATCTTCCAAGATGAGTGCAAGAGAGGAAAAGACTGGGATGACGAGCTAGAGCCAGGAAACCTTGAGCAGTGGATGAAGTGGCTGCAGGGTCTACCTAAGCTGGAAGAATTCAGTGTTCCCAGGTGTATCGTACCTCAAGAGTTTGGCTCACCCACCAGTGTACAGCTACATCACTTCTGCGATGGGTCTATGGTTGCTTATGGAGCAGTATCGTACATCAGGCTGGTAGACAACCGGGGACATATCCACACCTCATTCTTGATGGGAAAATTAAGACTGGCTCCAATGAAGTCGATGACCATTCCACGACTTGAACTCTCAGCAGCAGTCATGGCAGTGCGGATGGACAGTATTCTGCAACGTGAAATGAGGCTGGAGGTTCAGAGTACCACATTTTGGACTGATAGCCAGATTGTCTTGCAATACATCAAGAACACCTCGAAGAGATTCCAGACCTTCGTCACCAACAGAGTGAATGTCATTCACGATGGTTTGCTGCCAGCTCAATGGAGGTATGTGGATACACGCTCTAACCCAGCAGATGACGCCTCCAGAGGGCTTGATGCCAAGCAGATGTTATGCCAATCAAGATGGAAACAGGGGCTGGCGTTCCTGTCAGCGGATGAGACAGCTTGGCCAGTGGAGCCTGAAGCAAGTCCGGACCTGCTCCAAGATGACAAGGAAGTCAAGCATGAGGCAAAGACCTGTGCTGTGGAGGGAGTTGCTCCAGACGATGTCATCAACACACTGCTGAAGAGGTATTCGAGCTGGCATCACTTGAAGAAGACAGTGGCGTGGTTGTTGCGGTTCAAGGCGTGGCTCCGCAATCACAGACAGCAGGAACCACAAGTGTCCTTACATGTTCACAACTTACAGGCAGCTGAGAAGGCAATCATTGCACACCTGCAGGAGAAGCACTTTGGTGAGGAAGTGCGTGCTTTGAAAACCAACGGGACGATTTCCAGGAAGAGCGCAGTATACAGCCTGGATCCTGTGATGGATGATGATGGTCTGCTGCGAGTTGGAGGGAGGTTAAAGATGGCGCCACTCGCAGAACAAGCAAAGCACCCGCTGATAGTACTCAGGGAACACCATGTAGCTGAGCTCGTCATCAGACACTACCATGAGAGGAAGTCAGCACATTCGGGGAGGGAGTATGTGCTGTGCCTGACGAGGGAGCGCTTTTGGATTCCTAGAGCGCGCCCACTCATCAACAGAGTACTTCGTGACTGTGTTGTCTGCAGGAGGATCAAAGGAAAGACATGTGCCCAGAGAATGGCTGACCTACCTAAAGACAGAGTTACTCCCGGAGACCCTTCTTTCACTTGTACCGGAGTGGACTGCTTCGGGCCTTTCTTCGTCAAGAGGGGACGCAGCCAGGAAAAGAGATATGGTTGCTTATTTACATGCTTGGCAACGAGAGCCATACACATTGAGAAGCTCAACCAGATGGACCCAGCCTCGTTCATCAATGCTTTGGTGAGGTTTTCAGCAAAGAGAGGAATGCCAAAGAGGATGCGGTCTGATAATTGGACGAATTTTGTAGGTGGCGAACGGGAGCTGAGAGAATCCATCGAGAAGTGGAATCAGAGCAACAAGACCAATGGTGGAATGCGTTGTGAATGGACGCCCAATCACTCCTGTCTCCGACAGTCCCGATGATGCAGAAGTTCTGACCCCAAACCACCTGCTGCTGCTCAGAGCTGGCCAGCCTGCACCTCCAGGGAACTTCATCAAGCAGGATGCGTATGGACGGCGCTGGAGACATGTGCAGCTGCTTGCATATCAGTTCTGGAAGCGCTGGATACGCGAGTATCTCCCAACTCAGCAGCTGAGGAGAAAGTGGATAGATCCCCAGAGGAACGTGGTTGCAGGAGACACTGTACTGATCATGGAGGAGGCTACACCAAGGAGGAACTGGCCCTTGGGACTCATCACGAGGACATTTCCAGGCAAGGATGGACTTGTGAGGCCGGCTGAGGTGAAAACTCGCCAGAACATTGTGGTCAGACCTGTCGACAAGCTCTGTCTGCTTGAGTCAGCTGACTGAGATTTTAAACAATGAGGATTGAAGGCCAGAATAATGCCTCCTGATTGGGAGTGTACGACATGCTCTGCTCTTAAAATCTCAGTATTCACGAGGTTTATGCCACTCTGCCACAAAGCCCAAGAGACAGTTTACATTTTGATTTATCTTAATTTTGTGAGATATACTGTTGGGACCCAGTTGACAGATGTCTTTAAACTTTGATCTCAAATGTATATGTAGTTTATGTGTTGCCAGAGAGTCAGTGGTACTTAAGTTTTGTATGTTTATTGTTTAAGTATTTGTAAATGTTCACTTGTTAATGTTCGCGTTTATACAACGACTGTTTACTGCTGCCCAACCCGCCCCGTCAGCACGTGTGACTCGCAGTCAAGCAGTGGAAAATCAACATTTTGTAAAAGACTCGCGGAGATTGATATTCCTTCCCATTGCTTAATTTTTGGATGAGTATATTGAACAACTGCCCGAAAAAGAGACCAGCGAAAACACGGATACTGCAACTGGCCAGCTGAAAACGCCAGGCAACGCGGCTCTGATGAGTGGTAGGTCTGCGACGTTTGCGTGAAAAAACACAGCTGCGTTTTATCCAAGGACTCAAAGTATTATGTTCATGATAACATTTTTAGATGAGCAACAACAGTCCTACCGCAACTTTCTTCGTGATTTACAGACAATCTCAAACGTTATTCTGGTGAATATTCAGTCCAAAGAGACGACAAATTGTCAGGTTGTTTTCGAATTAAACGCGTACGGCACGCATAACGCATCGCGGCAGTGGATGTGGTCGACCGTGTCCAGAACTATATGTTGTACGGTTAGCAGCGTCGCAGGCCTCGGTCAAGTTACTTGCGTTGCCTGGTGCTTTTTATGTATACGTTCGCCACAAAAAAAATTAGTCCTCTTCTCTTGTCTTTCCTTGTGCATTTCAACCCTTGTTTTAACATCCTGAAACGATAATTACGAGTTTATTTGAATTTCGAAATTGTTAACTTTATTGTTTACCCCAAAACAAGCCGTAAAACAACGCCAGGAGACCATGGGACTACCGCTTCACCTCGGCCTGTAAACGTGACTACAAACAAAGTATAAAGTTCATAAATCATAGTCAGGCTCCGTTCATAAAACAAAAATCTCTGGACTTACGACATGTTCGGGATCCCGGTTGAAAACAAAATTCGCTGGTCCCGAAATTTAACGAGCTCTATCATTATCTTCAGTACCTAATTAAGACTTTATTCAAGAAATTCCAGTGGCAGAGAATTTGTCATTCGATCAAAAGAAGTTCTAGGGAAAATGGAGGCCTGTCACAAGGAAAACTACGCAGTCCTTTTTCTACGCATTTACCTTCAATTTGTGTGTGACAACGCGTGCGCGTATGCTGCGCAGATAATGGAGGGTCGAGGATACATTTGAACGGGTTTACGGTTCTTCAAGATTGGCGATGGACAAATGGTCCAAAACAGTCTTCCCTATAAATCATAAACAAATCATATCTCTATTATTTCTTGTCCAATTTCACAAATCTCTTGAGAAAAGAAGACTCTTGCTGTACAAAATGTACAGTGCATGATCAGCGCTCTATCCGTTAATTTGGCTGAAATTCGATCTCGTGTTTTCGCACGGTACCCTTCGGACAAACTGCATGGCTACGGAGGATTCTTATTCCTCCATGCTGACACCCGGACGGGAAAGCTGGAAATGTATTGCAAACAAAATGTTGTGATTACAGCCAGCGACTGAAACAATTATAGGCATATAGGTAATTTGCCTTAGCCTAGTGCGTTCGCTACCCGTACACGTATCAACAACGAATTATTTTGAAATTCCAACACCGTTTACCGGTGTCAAAATCTACGGTCCCAGCTTTACATAGCGCGTGTCACGGTGAATATGCGATGTGCATGTGAACGATCGAACGCTGTTGATGTAACGCAGACATTTCTTACTATGGTTGGCTTCTTTATTATACAGCTCTATGAAACAAAGTCATGTCGTTGCGCGGAGTGATTTGCAAAAAGTTTCGCTGGAACTACGCTGCATCGGGAGTCCTGTTTATTACGTCACGATTTACTATGTTTTTTTTTGCTGCCCCCAACGACGACTTTTACACAAATTACGCATTCGGGCCAAACCAGGACCTGAGCTCTCAAAAGTACCATTTGTATTCATTTCATGACAGAAACAGTATTCGTTTTTGTTTCATCACACCCTAGGCTACATATACCCGAAAAAAGACGGAAATGTCTTCGAGCATTCCAAAACCTCTTTAAACCAGTACAGTCGAACCTGAAACACCGTGTTTTTCGACAATAACATATTCCAAGGATTTAGTTTGCTATCCATAGCGACAAGAATCCAAATGAGTTTGCGAAGAAGTAAGGAAAACAGTTATTATTTCGACAATTTCGTTTTGAGAGTCCAAAATTGAAGTAGTTATTTTCGAAATCAGAAATATGCAAACAATTAACTTTTAATAAATTAAAAACAAACCTAATTCCTTCGAAACGGATCAAGGAAAAAAGATGAACTTGAACCCTGGTCCAAAAATAATAAGAAAAAAGTTGTGACGGCATCATGACGCCATCGGTTGTTTCAAACGATTCACGGTAATAATTACTTCGAATTATAACTTTAAAAAGGAATAGCGGCGTTCCCATTTTTTTATAATGTTGTGGACATTGCCTCAAAAGCTTTTGTTCCCAGACATACCATCTGTTTGTCAAGTGTCAACCGAATGTGTCTCAAAAACCCAAAATATTCATCACGCTTGGCAGATTTTTTTGAGAAGGGATAATTGTGGAGACTTATCATCACGGCTTGTAGGATATTTTTAGAAGGGATAATTGAGGAGACTAACCATCATGGCCAGGAGGATATTGTTTTAGAAGGGATCACTGAGGATACAAACCATCATGGGTAGGAGGATTTTTTTTAGAGGGTATGATTAAAATAGAAACCATCATGGCTTGGAGGATATGTTTAAGAAGAGATAATTGAGAATACTAATCATCTTGACTAGGAAAATATTTTTTAGAAGAGAATATTGAACACACAATCCATCACGGCTTGGTAGATATTTTTTTGAGAAGGGATAATTGAGGAGGTTTATAGTCACAGCTTGTAGGATATTTTTAGAAGGGATAATTGGGGAGACTAAAAAATAGCCAGGAGGATATTTTTTTAGAAGGGATAATGAGGAGATAAAACATCATGGCTAGGAGGATTTTTTTTAGAGAAAATTATTAAAATAAAACCCATCATGGCTTGGAGGATATGTTTTAGAAGAGATAATTGAGGAAACTTATCTTCTTGACTTGGAGCATTTTTTTTTGGAAGAGTTTATTGAACACACAATCCATCACGGCTTGGAAGATTTTTTTTAAGAAGGGATAATTGAACAGACTAATCATCACGGCTAGGAGGATTTTTTTAGAAGGGATAATTGGGGATACTAACCATAATAGCCAGGAGGATATTTTTTAGAAGGAATAATGAGGAGACAAAACATCATGGCTAGGAGGATTTTTTTTTAGAGAAGATTATTAAAATAAAAAACCATCATGGCTTGGAGGATATATTTTAGAAGAGATAATTGAGGAAATTAATCTTCTTGACTTGGAACATTTTTTTTTAGAAATGTTTATTGAACACACAATCCAAAACGGCTTAGAAGATATTTTTTTAAGAAGGGATAATTGAGGAGACTAATCATCACGGCTAGGAGGATATTTTTTTTTAGAAGGGCTTCTTGAAATAAAAACCCTCATTGATTGGAGGATATTTTTAGACGAGATTATTGAACAGAAACAACAATCACGGCTTGGAAGATATTTTTTAGATGTGATCATTGAGGAGACTAACCATCATTGCTAGGAGGATATTTTTTAGAAGTGATTATTGAGAAGATTAACCATCATTACGAGAAGGATTTTTTTAAAGGGATAATTTAGGAGGCTAATCACCACGGCTGGGAGGGATTTTTTTTACGGGGATAATTGAGGTGACTTATCATCACGGTTAGGAGGATATTTTTAGAAGGGATTATTGAAATGAAAACCATCACGGCTGGGAGGATATTTTTTAGAAGAGATAAGTGTGCATCATCATGATCCAGTGCGTTTGTATTTGCGCCCTCTAGTCTATTCTGACCAGTGACACTTTTATCCTGCAATGCTTAAAAGTAACTTGATGAAACCGGGTTGGCGCACTGTGAACTATAGCGAAATGACAGTTGAACAACAAAGTTTAAAGGCACTGATAATATCCACAAATAATAACACAAATAAGACCGGCATTTTGAGATGTCCGGATACCTGTATACGTTCTTCCGTGACCAACTTCCGCATAACTTTTCATCCTGATTGAGTTTGAGTGATATCCGGAAATAATCATGTTTGAAAATTTAAGTGAAAGAGTCAGTAGGAAAAAGGAGGCAAAAAATAAGAGTGTGCTTGATCATGCCAAAAATATTGGCCAGGTTATAAAGAGTCCAGGTTTTACGAGACTTCTTTTTTTTTTAACCGAAATGTGAAACACCGATTTGTAGTTCATCTTAAATACTATTTTGAATAAGCAGGTATAACAATAAATCTATACTGTTCTGAATCACAGCAGGCAACTTGATGTTTCACTCTTGTGAAAAAACTGTGGTCAGATTTGACTAAAAAACACTCCAACCTAACAGTCGAACCTAAATAAAAACAGCCATGAATGTGATTTTAAAGTGAAATATCCATATGCACAAAAATCCAAATGATTTTTTTTGTAAAGAAGTAAAGAAATCAGTCAGTATTTGGACAATTTATTATATGAGAGTGCACAATGGAAGTAGTGGCGGAAATATTGCCAGACAGGAATTACTCATTTTTATTGCCTTGAAATTTGACCTCACAAAACCGTGGTCTGCATCCGCACCAACTGTTTACATTAAGAGCTGAAATAAAATAGCTCGATAATTTACAAAAGTATTTGAAATTAACTCTTTCAGACGGGCTTTAATTAGT